TTTCAGATTTCTCATGCAGATTTGATCCCTAGTTGTACCCTTTTGATTTTGGGACTGATCAGGAAAAATAAGGTGGACAGATGGCCATCTTGGATTTCGCCTAGTAAACACTGATATTGCTATTCCTTGAGAATTGTTGCATAGATCATTCTCAGATTACATGTGTAGGTTTCCCTTGATCCCTAGTTGTGCAAATCTGATTTTGGGACTGATCAGAAAAGCAAAATGGCTTCAATGCGACCATTTCGGATTTGGTAGTTAAAGATTATTATCGCTATTTCTGCAATTGTTCAAATTTCAAATCATTAAAAGAAAAAAAAGAGAAAAGAACAGAAAAGAAGGTTAAAAATCTAGCTTTTACATCAGAAATAAAGATAAAACAATAATGTGCACCAAGATCTCTCTGGGATCTTGTTTTATTGTCTTATTATCGATATATCATGGAAAATACTTACATTATACACCAACGCACAGAAATATAGCTACTGAGTATATCATATTTCCATCAAATAATACATTTTTTTGTACTGTAAACAAAACAATGTTATCCTGTCATTATTTTGTACAACAACATGGGATAACATCGACGGTGTCTCACATTTAAGTTATATTTGAATTCATTGCCAAACATATTAAGTAGAATGTCTATAAAATTTTGGAATAATAGCTTGCGAAACTGAAATGGCCATATATCGTGAGTTAATATATTTAGTGGTTAGATGAGTATTTAGAGGTAGTAGTGCAAGAGTACACATAACACTGCACAGTCTAAATTACAGGGATTACACCAACAGAAAGATTTGTTCCTCCATCTTGTCTCAGTGTGCACCATATAATCAGGATCTGAAAGGATTGGACAGACATGTAAAGTAGGCATGATCAAGCATATGTCTATGTGACCAACGTGCATCATGCTGGAGATAAGTAATACCTACAAAGCCAGATGTTGGGATACGACTGGTGAGCACATCAATATCCCTTAAATGTACACTATATCTAATGACATATGATTAGGGGTGAAAGTGATACCCTTTCATCTTTTGATTTGAAGACCTTGTCAAATTCAGAATTGATACCTTGTTTCTGATTCCGATATCAGTTTGGCCTAGAATCTTGTTTTAATACTAAGATGTCACCTTTGCCAAGAATCTTGATCTGATACTGATGTCAGTTTCACTGAGAATCTTGTTCTATTTGCTTTGCTATGAATCGTGTTCTGATACGGACATCAATTTCTCTGAGAATCTTGTTTCATAACTGATGTCAGTTTCTTCTAGAACTTTGTACTGTTACTGATATCAGCTTCACCTAGAATCTTGTTCTGTTAGTGATGACAGCTTCACCTAGAATCTTGTTCTGTTAGTGATGTCAGCTTCACCTAGAATCTTGTTCTGTTAGTGATGTCAGCTTCACCTAGAATCTTGTTCTGTTAGTGATGTCAGCTTCACCTAGAATCTTGTTCTGTTAGTGATGTCAGCTTCACCTAGAATCTTGTTCTGTTAGTGATGTCAGCTTCACCTAGAATCTTGTTCTGTTAGTGAAGTCAGCTTCACCTATAATCTTGTTCTGTTAGTGATGTCAGCTTCACCTAGAATCTTGTTCTGTTAGTGATGTCAGCTTCACCTAGAATCTTGTTCTGTTAGTGATGTCAGCTTCACCTAGAATCTTGTTCTGTTAGTGTTGTCAGCTTCACCTAGAATCTTGTTCTGTTAGTGTTGTCAGCTTCACCTAGAATCTTTTTCTGTTAGTGATGTCAGCTTCACCTAGAATCTTGTTCTGTTTGTGATGTCAACTTCACCTAGAATCTTGTTCTGTTTGTGATGTCAACTTCACCTAGAATCTTGTTCTGTTGGAGATGTCAGCCACACCCTGGATTTTTATTCTTACCATATTACATCACACAGCATACAAATGCTTGGTTTTAACCAATAATAATCCAACTGCCTTAAAGTTTTACTTTGTTGGTAAATATTATGAATCTTCATGCTTATTTTTCCTGTCATTAATTTCTGAAGACACTATCATAGGTTCAACATCAAAGAAAAATGACTGGTCTTTAAGTTCTCATCTGATTATATAAAATTTTCATCCAGTTTACAGGGAAATATACTCAGACAAGTTGAAGGTTAAGGTTATGTACTTATCATTCTATTGACACAATAGTTCAATCTTTCTGTTGGCACATAGACATAAAATCTTAATATCCATTAACATCACCTTGCACCAATCTGATTCTCACTTCTCATGGGGATGGAATCTGTTGTTTAATGAGAGGAATTTCACAAATATAACAATTTCATGATGTCACTTCTAAATTTGTTTAATCATTTTGAAAGAAAAGAAACGACATACAAGTATATTGGAGACTAAACATGAGATAGTGTGATGATTTGGGGCAGTATGTTGTATTGTAGCTATCAGATTTCTTACTTTTATTAAGTAGTTTGTCACCACATTATCAGACAATTGTCTGAACATCCCTCATGTACAATTTTGTCAATGCTATTCCTATCGTCTGTTACTCCTGACCATGGTCATGGTTCCCCTTGTACACATCCCTAATGTCAGGAATTTTGTAAAAACTGTGATTAAATAAAAAGTCTTACAGTAGCCGATCCATGAAAGAAGCTATTTGAACAATTTTTCTATAACACAGAACCCAACATATGCCAGGATCACAGACATGCTGAATAATTTACTTCTGTCTTTGCTCTGTACCATTGTCAAATGAATTATTCAAGTGAAAACAGGTGATTCATAAAGGTTGATGGCAGATTGCATGCAAATCACTCAGCTGTAAAAATGGTCAAATTGAAGATTCAAGTTAAGATAGGTGGACAGTGTGCTTCCTTTTTAATCAAATTAGCAGTGATAGTAGCCACTGTAGCCTTGACAATATGTCGTAGATTACAAATCAGAAATCTTGATTATTGAGGGTTCTCATATTCCTCTAATGGACATTCTCTTCACTGCATTGGAATGTATGAAGCATTTCCTTGTCCTCAATTATGCCTTGTAAATTATATATATTGAGCCATGTGCAACTCAATATATCAGGAACATCACGAATTTAAAGTGGTAAAATATAAAATTCTGCACTGTGGTACATGCAAGTTTATGATGGAAGGAAAGTTCTATAATTCAACGTAGCAAATGAGTTCAGTGTAGAGTAAGGGTACATAATTTCACACAGTATGTAAATTCACACACCTGTTGATCTTTTGTTTCTTTGCTCCCACTAACAATGGTTTGTGCTGTTTTTTTTTGTACTTTTGCTGTTCTAAATATAGCACTTCTGATTAACCTAATTTTGAAAACAAGTCTCTCATCAAAGAAAATAGACACAAGGTAAATATTTAAATGAAACTAATCCCAGTGACTGATTAGGTTATACATTTTCAAATATTAAGAGAAAATATTGTTTTATCAAATTATAATTGAAGTTGTTTTAAAATTGATTGAATATAGCTTATATCAGTTACGTCTCCATGACCTGTTGTCTGCTCACATACATTTACTTTTGTAGGGAGCAGTCATTATCAAAGAATATGGGTTAATAAGCCTTTATTAAGCCTTTTTTGCTCATCCAAAAAATTAGGAGATTGCTGACTTGTCTGTCCATCCACCCTTGGCCCCTCATTTGCAGAGTTATTGCCCTTTGTTGAAATTTCTTGTCCGCACTATAACTTTGCCCATAGTTATGCAAGGATCATGAAACTTAGTGTATACATTGGTCATTCAAAGACAATTGATGTGTTTCAAATTTAGGGCCCTTGACCCCTCAATTACAGAATTATTATTTAGATACACACCTAAAGAGTGCGAATTCACATACCCTCAATATAACCTTCATATATCATGTTATACAAAAAATGAAATTTACATTAGGATATGTCCAGGTAACAAGGAAATATACTTTGCTGAAACTTGTAACATACTCCAAGTCCATGTACATAAATCATATAGATGTAACATAGTATCATTAAGTAAAGTGAATACAGAACAAATGAACTTTACCAGTAACACAGAGTTGATGTCAATATTTACCAGTAGCACAGAGTTGATGTCAATATTTACCAGTAACACAGATTTGGTATCAACATTTACCAGTAACACAGAGTTGGTATCAACATTTACCAGTAACACAGAGTTGGTATCAACGTTTACCAGTAACACAGAGTTGGTATCAACATTTACCAGTAACACAGAGTTGGTATCAACATTTACCAGTAACACAGAGTTGGTATCAACATTTACCAGTAACACAGAGTTGGTATCAACATTTACCAGTAACACAGAGTTGGTATCAACGTTTACCAGTAACACAGAGTTGGTATCAATGTTTACCAGTAACACAGAGTTGGTATCAACATTTACCAGTAACACAGAGTTCAGTAACACAGAGTTGATGTCAATATTTACCAGTAACACAGAGTTGGTCCTAGTACAACTTTTATTCCATTTTTATGATACCCCATCAGACATTACCACAGATCACAGGTGGAAAGCTTGATTAGCGTTCCTTTTCATGTCTCCTCTGAGAGAGAATCTTTGTGCGTGAATAATGAGACAATTCTTCTATTGGAAATAAATAGAGATATGAAAATTTCATTGAGATTAATTTTATTTCATTCTTTAATTGTTCGGTGCAGGGTTGGCCATGTATACTATTAAGCCATTAGCTTTGTTGTGCCAGAGGTGTCAGCCATTTAAACAGATAAGCGCATGTAAAAGTACATCGGTAGAGTTTTCAGAAAAAAGTACCCATGTCCATAACTTACAACTGGGAAAAGTAAAGCTGATTACCTCAGAGATACAAGCACTTTAATTTCCTTACAAAAATGATGTCTTCACTTTTTGAACAGCTATCCATGAAACAATGCTTTGTAGTACAATTCTTCAGTATCATTATCACCATGTTGCTTGTAGATATATTTCTCCGGAATTTGTGTAATTTTAATAATTTTTATTTGTATATATATACCATACTTTCTTTGCAGCATCCTGATCATTATTCCCGTACGAAAAGTATTGCAGAACAAACGGTACTGAAGACAGATGGAAGGAATGGTTTGAGGACTTGTGCTTTACGTTTGGCTGGAGTGTATGGTCCTGAAGACCAACGACACATCCCTCGCATTGTGGTATGTCTGAAATTTAACTTTCTAGTACCTTTACGAACCTATCGGTAAATTAGTAGTTCACAGACCAATGCTAAGTTAAGAAAAACATTCATTAAGTTACGAGCCATCATAACAATAGGTTATGATGAATCAGTATATGAAGTGCTGTGGTAGTTCATAAGATATGTTGTGTGACTGAACTTAGACTCCTTGGTGAATTGTGTAACATCACTATTGACTCATTTGTAAGTAATATAAGAGCATTGTCGTCTCCTTGGTGAGTTAAATGTGTGAAAGTACTGTTGATGTCTTGGTGAGTTGTGTAACATCACTATTAACTCATTTGCAAGCTGTGTGACAGTAATATAGACTTGAATTGTAATTAATCATTGAATTTGTATATTGTTCAGCTAATATATAGCTTGATGTCAGTGGAAATATCCCTGCTTACTTCATAGAAAGACTTTATTTTCCTTCATGATGTGGAAGAACTTTACCTGTTTTTTTGTGGTTTTGACATTTGTGTTTAACCTGCCAGTATAATATGGTGTTACAATCAGTAGCTAACTTTATGACCTTACTGCTCCCTGATGTACGGATAGCATTTATTTAATGTAATCATCCTTGAAACTTATCTCTCTTCGTGACATAAATTTCAGACAAAATGTCAGTGATTGCATGGAAGCTTATAATGCTCTTTTACCTCAGCAGAGTTGTAGAGCTCTGATGCAATTTAGATTGATTTAATTATAAAAACTTGTCCTACTGAGTATACAGTTCTACCTTCTCTTTCTGCCAATTACATAGGTTAGAGGATTAGACATTAAGTCTCGTGCGTTTTATTTTCTTAATGCTCATGGTACATACATCACGAACATGTTGTACTTTTATTTTAAATCTGGTACATCATATTCTTACTGAAGTTAAAAATCAATTGGATGAAGTTTGATCTCTTTATTCAGATTTCTTAGCCTTCTAGGATGTGATACGCTGAATCTTTAACACTAGATACCAGCTAGAATGTTTAGACCATACATCTTTAGGGCCCTGCTTTGCAGATACGGGTGCCCTATTGTAATTAGTCTGTCCATCTGTCCATCCACCTTTTGTTGGGTTTTTGCACATGTCCAGTTCTGGTAGGCACACAGATTTTATCTAGTGTTTCCTGGGAGAAATGCTTGCTTGGGATTGATTTCATATTTAAAGGTGAAAGGTTAAGGTAGTCACTGTTATTTTAGATAAAGAATCAGTGACTGCATTGTCTCCAGTTCTATTCAGCAGATTACATTTACTTTTTATCTCTAGTTTCTTCATAGAAACTGCTTGCTTCAATCACTTTCATGTTCATAGGTCAAAGGTTAAGGTCAATATTTTTATTGCTATGACATGAAGCAAAATTGACCATAATCAAATAAAATTTTGTTAGATTTTGGGTCAGGGTTAAATTTTGAATAATATTCTCGTAAGTGTTTTATCATGAATGTATGATGAAAAATTTACCAGAATCAGATGGAAAGTCACCTGACTTCAGGTCAAACATTTCATAATGGTCAATATTTTGTTAAAAACTTTGAAGCAAAGTTGACCTGAATCAAATAAGGAAACATCTGATCAAAATTCAATGTCAGTGGATTCAGAGTCAAGGTATCATTTTCTTTCTCTTAATAATTATATATTTACCAGCAACCTGTTTTGTCTATGTCCTGACATCACTGAACCCAGGAGTGGAACATGGTAGGCCTAGTTGTCTACTTTATTGTCTGCCTGTCTGTCCAGGCAACACTTCCCAGTTGAACATGGCAGTCATAGTTGCTTATAGTTGACTGTTTAGGCTACTTTCTTGTCTGTCTTTCTTTGCTGACAAGATAGCCCTGGTAACACATACTGGTGATTGTGCCATTTACTCTACTTAATTGTTTGTCTTTCTGTCAGTCCCCTATTGAAACATGTTCAGCCATGTTGTCTTGTTAATTTTTCTGTCCACCAGTCCAGGCAGAGCAATATCTGAGCTTGTTTTCCCTCATTCTCTTGTTATTTGAGATAAATGTATCTTATTGCTGTAAATTATTTGGTGGTTCTTTTGAATTTGCTCGTGGCTTGCTAGGTAAAAAGTTTCTTCTTGATTCAGTTTCTATCTTGATCATGAATATTCAACAATTATTTTTTTCCAAATTTCTTTGTAATCAACACATTTATTCAGAATTTACATTCGTCATACATTTCCTATTTTAGATTCATCTTTTTGATTTGAAAATTGAATTCATTTACACATTTTTATCACAGAAATGAATTCATGAACAACTAAAAAATTCTACAGGTCTATTATGAATTAACATCTTTGAGAAACCTTGCATGACAATAAGTGCTGTCTGTCCAGCTACTTCACCCGAATTATTATCCAGGGCTAGCAAGTGACGCCACATTTCTGAGCCAATTGTGTTGCATATCTATCTAATTTCACAACTGACACGCTGACTCTTTCATTTGATGTGGGAAAGTACAAGGAGCTTAACCAATATGGAAGTTTGTGTGATTAATATCTTGTGTTGAACTTTAGAATTTAAGGAGGAATGAAAAGAAATATGATGACTCCGAGGATGTGTCATTGCCATGGAGATGAGTGATGATAAAATACAATAATTTGCATACATGTGACACTTTCATTAGCAAGTGTATGAACGATGGAACAGAATATCGCATGATTTTAACATGTGGTTTGTCAACGTATGCTAAAGCATTCTTCAAAACCCACCACACAAAATGTCTTCAACCAGATGAAATGGGGAAAAAAGTTTAAAAAATCTTTTGACAAATGCTTGTTTATTATTTCCTGTCTGAGGATTCATGGCATGAAAAAAATGACCAGAAAAAAATAGAAATTACGACAGGTGTGATTAATTAAAACAAATCATGTTGTAAAAAGAGGAAAACCATTTTCACACATGTCATTAATGGCGTTTTTTCATACATTCTTGAAGTTAATGGAGTATTTTGATGAATGTTTAGAATATCGACAGATTCAGACCAGAGATGATAAATCTGTTGCACTGCTCAATGAAGAAGGCATTGTGATAACTTGCTCACAAGGTAGTGACCAATCAGGGATGTTATTTCACTCAAATGAAGCAGAAAACCTCTGATAAACACCCAATTTGATTGCATTGATCTTAGAGATTTTATACTGATGATATTTCCTGCCTGGGTAAACTGGAGGATAGTTAGCATTCCTCATAATGTTGGTACTTACCTATGATGACAATTCACCTATTGTAAATGTCACTGTTCTCCTGTAGTGTCACTGCCCTCATACAATGTCACTGCTCTCCTATAGTGTCACTGCTCTCCTACAATGTCATTGCTCTCCTATAGTGTCACTGCTCTCCTGTAGTGTCACTGCTCTCCTATAGTGTCACTGCTCTCCTACAGTGTCACTGCTCTCCTATAATGTCACTGCTCTCCTACAATGTTACTGCTCTCCTATAGTGTCACTTCTCTCCTATAGTGTCACTGCTCTCCTACAATGTTACTGCTCTCCTATAGTGTCACTGCTCTCCTGTAGTGTCATTGCTCTCCTATAGTGTCACTGCTCTCCTGTAGTGTCACTGCTCTCCTATAGTGTCAATGCTCTCCTATAGTGTCACTGCTCTCCTACAATGTTACTGCTCTCCTATAGTGTCACTTCTCTCCTATAGTGTCACTGCTCTCCTACAATGTTACTGCTCTGCTATAGTGTCACTGCTCTCCTGTAGTGTCACTGCTCTCCTATAGTGTCACTGCTCTCCTGTAGTGTCACTGCTCTCCTATAGTACATCCAATCTTCCATAGTGTCACTGCCCTCCTACAATGTCACTGCTCTCCTATATTGTCAGTTTCTTTAATGATGTCACTATTTTAATGAGTCACAGATGTCATAGTGTCACTGCTCTCCCATAGTGTTACTTTTTTCTGTAGTGTCATCACTCCCCCAAAGTGTCACTGCTCTCCAATTGTGAAATTGTAGAATGTATCAAATATAAGTCAAGGTCACAGAGGTCGTAGTAAGAGGTAAATTAATGTCATCTTCAACCAGAAATAAATGAGTGAAAAGCAAGATTTCTACATTTTGCAAATTAAACTGGTAAATCAAAGTGACTCATGGCAACGCAGAGTAACAACATGATAGAAGAGGATAACCGTAGAGCCATGGCAGGGTTTGTTCATTGTTCCAGCATTTAAATGAATATAGATGTGTTTTACTTGATAAATAGATATTCCTACGAAACCATTAAAGTATTTAACAATACAGTTGTGGCTGTGAGCTATTGACTACCAGCAGCAGATATACAGCACAAGAAATGGCTCTACGTGGCTGTTTAATTTGTGTGGACTCAAATTTACAATACTGGCGCCCCTTTCCACGGAAGTTTCTACTTGAATATTAAACAGACAGCTGTTGAATTGAGATTTGTTTTCCAAGTAAATTTGGCATACAATCAATAGTGTGATAAAGTTTGGTGATTTATCACCAAATCCGGATAATTCTAGAGTTCTTATCACAAATACTCTATGGATTTTAGAGTACTTTTTGGTTTATTTCAGCAATTCCACACGTACTATGCTCTATGAAATACATTTCTAATCCTTAAGGACTTGAGATTTGACAAGTATTTATGATTTTAGATAATGTATATTTTTCTGGCACATTGAATTGGATAAACAAAGTACAAATATCATGATGAACAGAAATACCCAAAGCTCCTGGAAAGTGAACTTTAACAAGATTTCTGAAATTTCCCCAGAAACTTCATGCATTGGTTTTGCAGTACAGATTTTAGGTTTCCTTTGTGAAACTCATTGACATTTTCAGAATTTACCAGGTTTTTTATCTTGATTTTAAAAGGTATGTACATGGACAAAGTTCAAATGCACCAGAGATCCAAGGGGCAGGGCCAAAAGCATGTAAATTGTCTAAAATTTAGAAATCATCTTCTTCAGAACCAGATGTCTTAGAATTAGATACTGTTTATGGATAGTGATCCTAA